GAATATTAAGTTATTTGCATTCAATTCTTACCTACAACCTATTAACTTTGTCAAAAAGCTCTCAAAGGTTTATACGCTTTTATTGTTATTATATTTACTCTTTCAAAGATTCTTTATTGTGAAAAGATTTTTTGTTTATTGATTTGAAATTTTAGGAAGAGGTTTTCCTAAGTGATTGTAACAGCTTATTGGTGTAATAAGTGTTGTGACATTAAGATTGGTGTAGTCTTATGAGTTGTACTATGATGGCAACTATTGAATCAAAATAGTGATGTTAGTGAAAAATTTTAAGAGTGATCTTGATGAACATAAGCCAAGTGATTGGGTTGAGAACTAGGATAAATTTTTTGTGTCAAACTTTTTCTTCTTTTAAATTCTTCACCTATTAAAAGCTTTCTACGTTATTATCTATTTTAGTGTTCTTCATCTTTCTGAATTGAGAAAATCTTGATGAAAATATTTTACACCTAGTTCACTCTCTCTCTTGGGTACCAGTCAAATCCAATAATTTTAATGTGCAAGAGTTGCGCATCCTCAAACAAAACCTCAATTTTCACTTCCTTATCATTCTAACGAAGCCAAATTCCCCCAAAAAAACCACAAGCCTCAATTCTTTTATGTTATGTTTGGATACATATAGATTTGGATTTTGATTCGGATTTGAGCCAAATCCATTGTTTGGATAATTAAAAATGTATGGATTTAGATTTGACCCAAATCCAAGTTCTGCCTCAATCTCTTTGTAATTTAAAATCCTTTCTAAACTCCTATTATTTCAAATCCTAACTCAATTTCTTTTGTAACCTAACCCAAATCCATGAAGGCTTGATTGACTTGCTAATGTTAATTAGACCGGACTGCCTAAGTTGATGGAAACAAGCCACCACCATTAACCAAGACTAGATAGCTAACTTCTACCTAGACCAGACTGATGACAATGACAAGGACTAGATGACTTACTTCCACTAGGACAGGACCAACGATGACAACGGGAACCAAATGGCTAACTTCTATAGGGATTTGAACTGACAACGACAACCAAGATTGGACGGCTAATTTACACCAGGATCGAATTGACAATGACAACCGAGACCAAATAGCCAAGTTCCATCATGATCGAGACGATCACGACCATTGGGATCAGACAACCGACTTACTCTAGGATCAGACCGATGGCGATAATGGGGATCAGATAGGTGACTTCCATAGGGATTAGGACTAATGACAATGAGTGGGACTAGAAGGCCAACTTACCCAACATTGAATCAACAGTGACGATGGGGACCATATGGCCGACTTCCATCGAGATCGAACTAATGGCATCAACAGGGACTCGACAGCAGACTTCCATCGAGACAGGATTTATGGCGACAACGGGGACTTGGCGGCCGGCTTCTACCAAGATAGGATCTGTGGCAATGATGAGGACCCAACGACTGACTTCCATCTGGTCCGGTCTCAATGGAAGTCAACCGTCTAATTCAAGTGGAATTTGGTCATCCCATCTCAATCATCACCTTTAGTTAGGTCCCGGTGGAAGTCGGCCATTTGATCCTCATCGTCACCTTAGTCCAGTCTTGGTGGAAGTCAGCCATCTTGTCCCCCTTAGTCCAATCGCTGTGGAAGTCAGTCATCACAACCTCATTGTCGTGTCGATCTAATTCTAGTAGAAGTCGGCCATCCACTGTTGTTGTGTCAGATCAGTCCTTGTAGAAGTCAGACGTCTCATCCCAGTCATTATCGGTGCTAAACTCCTAGTCTGCTTTGACTATCTAATATCGGTGGAAGTTAGCCATTTAGACCGTCAAGTTTGACCAGTTGTCCAAGTTTCATTTTAATTTAAATATAGAATTTAAAATTTAAAATTTTACTTTAGATTTAAACAAAGAATTCTAATATTATAATTTGAAATATTTTATATCATCCAAACAAAGAAGTTAGAATCTATAAATTTCAAATGTAAGGTTTTAAATATAAGATTTTAAATTCAAATTTACAATTTAAATCCACCCATCCAAATGCAATCTTAGAGAACTTAAACCCAGAACATTTTATCGTACTAACAGCCTATCTTCCACTAATTCTTGGTTCCAACAAAGCCATCAAATCTGGTTTTTGAACTTTCAGAAAATTTCTACAAACAGTGGCAAACTTCCTATTAGCAATCCCATGACAATTCCATATTATTAGCTTCAAAAAAAAAAAAGAAAAATAATACTAGAAAAGAAACCAGTAACCTTAATCATAGTTCTCCCCTTCCTCTACGAAAGCTATGCTTGCATTCTCCCTACCTCCAATGTCTGTCTCCGTCTCCTCGTCTCATTTTAGTTCAATTTTAATTAGGAGAGAAAATTGGCACAACCGAATGCAGAAAGATTTTTCCAAAATCCTGACACGTGACTTAATTAATTGAATCACAACACATATTAAGCAGTCGCATGTCACCATAATATGATATATGCACTACCAGATAAAACCCCTGTGCTTGATAGTTATTTTTACTAATATTTGATAGTTTTTTACAGTCAAGTAAAAGGGCACCATATAATACAATCCTCTTACTTGACAGTTGAAATAACCATTAAATATATATATTTTCATCAAAAAATAAAATATTATATTTATTTGACAGTTATTTAATAATAACCATTAAGTGTATGATTAAATATTTGATGATTCTTAAAAAAAAATCATCAATTATTCTCTCTCCTATTTTATTTATCATTTTTTTTCAAATAACCATTAAGGTGACTTATTTGGCCTTTTCTATGGTAGTGTGCAATCACGAGCTACCACCATCAATGAATCCATTTGTGATTCCAAATCAATAAGTATGGTGTGCGTGTGTATATAAAAGGTTTAGGATAAAACAAAGAGGATATCAATGAAGTATCTAAAAAATATTTAATTTCTTAAAAGGACGTTGAAAGATTTAAAACTTGTTAATTTTGTTAACTTTTACTTTTTAGAGATTCTTTGAAGATATTAAATTTCTTTAGATGATCCTTTATTAATATTCTCTCTAAAAAAATTATAGCAAAGGTACACATGTAGTTCTTTAAATTTGTACAAAAGTTTTATTTTAGTTCCTTAAATTTTTAAAATATATCTTTTCAATCTTCCAACTTTAACAACGTTGATTTTATTAACAAAAAAATTGTGAAATTAAATTTTTAAATATTGATAAAATATTTATAAATGTCAGTATATTAAGTTTAATTTTTAAAAAATAGCAATAATTGTAACAAAAAAAATTACTTGGAATTAACAATGTTAGGCTTTGAGAACTGTAAAAAAATACTTCATAAAATCAAGTGATTAAATTAAAACTTTATATTATGCTAATGGGCAAATGTATAGTTTTGAAAAAAAAAAATCATTATATTTTTAACATTAAAAATACAAATGATTGAAAATAGCAAAAACCAACCTTAAGATTTTACATGAAATTTGATACTCTCTTCATTTTAAATTATAAGATACTTTTAGATAAAATTTTATATATTAACAAAACCTCATTAAATATACTTTACAACTTTACTTTTTCAAGACAAAAACATACACTTTTAAAAATACTCTTTATTTAATACTCAATTGATAAAAGAATATTGAAGAGAGAGAATATATGAAAAGGATAATATTAAAAAAGCATCATTAATAAAACCTTATTTTTATTAAAATATTTTATATTTTGAATTAAATCTTTCTTAAAAGTATTTTATAATTTCAGACACAGAGAGTATTAACAAGTTTTGCCATCCATCCCCCCCCCCAAAAAAGTTACACTATCCAACAAATTAATTACTATGAGATTCATTTAGGATTGCAATGTGATTCTTCCTAAATAGATTTCTACAATTTTTTAGATATATTGTTTGATTTTTTTTGTCCGGCCATTATATTGTTTGATAATTGATAGTTGATTATTACAATTAAATTATGGAGCCGCAGAAGTATGACAAGAGTCATAATATCAAGGCAAATTATGGAGCCGCATTATATAAAATTATTAGGTATCTAGATGGCTAAAAAACCTTTCTTTATAATGGATTCAATTTCTTAGCAACAATTCACTCTATATTATTTCTTCCGGAAGAAAGGAATCAATGAACAATTCAAGTTAGTACACACCCCATATGCCATAGCAGCACAATCCACGTTATTTATATAACTTTTTCTCTAATGGGATTGAAAACTTGAGGGGATATTCTGATCCACCCTAAACCCGTTATCGCTTTGCGGCTCACTATGCTTTATAGACCTTCTATTCTAATTCTACATTTGTTAGATCAAGCTCACGGAAGAACGAAGCTTCAGAACTGGAAAGGCTTAATCATGGTCAGTAGTATTAATGCGATTTGATCAAACCAGGGAGATGCATTAAAACAAACCAAATCAGACTATATAATTATGAGAAATTGGGAGAGGGAAGTGGAAGAGAAAGGAGGAGAGAGAAACTAGAAAGAAGGGATAAGGTTAAAGTTATTGGAAAATTCAATATAAAATGAAAATTCTAACTCTATTTATAAAACTCTAAAAATAGTAATAAAATAATAAATTTAAATCTAAATCCTAAATCAAATTTAAAGATGCCAATAAAATAACGATATTCTATTTTATTGAGAAAAGATAAATCCAAAATAACGATAAAATAAAATACTAAATCCTAATATTAATGGATAAAATCCTTGTTTAAAGATCCTAATAGATAATTTTAATATCTTAAATAAATCATAATTATCTTCGTTATTCATTATTCTCTATTCCATTAATAAAATTTCCACCAGCACTTTCCACCCCCTTGTAGGCTTGACCTTTATGAGTAGAAATATAACGCGGCTAATAACGCAAGCTTCTTTTTAGTAGTTTTGAAAAAATAACATTTCACTGAAATATGATTACCATGTCCACTAATTCTCTTATCGACCAAAGCCTAAAATTATAAAAATTAAAAACAATGAAAACAAAAGAAAACAATTGCTCAACAATAGCTAACATGATTAGTAAAAGAATGAACAGAACCATTCCTAAAAAATCCATCTTTCGTCATGTAACATGAAATTTTTGTATGTAAAGTTAAAAATTAAAAATACGTCAACTTAAATTCAATACTATGCTCTGCTCTGCTAATCCCCTAAGCCTCTCTGCGCACAAAATACAGCTTACCCATCACATGCAGGATGGCAACAAATGCTATGAAGCCAATGCTCATTACAAGAACCACTTTAGGGGAGATCCTAAGTCCTGGTGCATCATCCGTATAAAATTGAAGCATAGTTCCAGCTGCCCCTCCGGAAGCTCCTCCACCAGTAGTTCTCCTCCTGCGCATACTTGCAGTGGCGGCTGCACTTCCTCTGGGGGGAGCTGTTCCACCTAAAGCCATTATCTGAGACAGATACACAGAGATTTAGCATGTCAATCCAAAGAATACATGCAACGCCTTACAAATATGAAGCACACACTATGCTCTGTTGCTCAAAATCCTTATGAAATAAATTGAGAAACTTTTGCAATCTTGGTACAAAGAATAACTAGAAACTACAATGAAGCAATGGAGAAGTGCTATTAATTTTAAATTACATCAATATCTTTCCCTCACTTTTAGGTTTCGAATTGATGATCTGATGAAACTCTCAATAAACAGGACGTCGCTTCATCTTAATATTAACATGATTGGAAAATACCATGATGACGATATCAATAAACAAGACATCTGCAGATATCTTATGCCCCCTTGAATATTGATTCGCAGTATAAAAACAAGCAATTTTTTTCCCGTAGAGCTCTACTGGTTAGGATATTGGCCCATTTTTTTCCCATTAGATCCACTATGAGATTGTTATCCTGGTGAAATCTGAAAAGTGTCCGTATGGTATTGACATTCTGGTGACAATCTATTTTCTCATGAACAAGTCCATTAAGCAATTACGAATCCAAACAAGAATTCACAACCGCTAGAAATATGAAGAAAAAACACCATATAAAAGGAAACAAAAATTGGATCCGCAAGACGAAATTCCTAAATATTGAATCATAGAGAAAATTCTAATTGGATCTAACGAAATTCCAGGCAAACAAACAAAATCAAATAAAAGCAAACAGCGCCTTGACGACGCAACGCAGTCTAGTTCTCTTTCAAACTAAATTCTGGCAAAACACAGAATCAATTGAATCCCAGAAAAGGATTAAATAAATCAACAAATCAGATTCAGAACCAAGAAAAACTCAATCAAACAGAAGGAGTTGACGGTATAAATCTTCAATTGCAAAACCCTAATACAGTAATGAAACAAACCAGATCAGTGATCTGAATCAAAAATCGAAGATATTGGGGGGGGGGGGAACCAACCGAAAAATTCCGTAGAAATCGACCGAAAGGTAGCTGGGATCGACGGGCACAAGTTTTGAACGAGAGATCTGAAACGTGGACAAGCCGGCGGTACAATATCTTCTCCTTTTTTGAATAATAGGCACCGTATCCATCTTATGCCCGCAGCTGTCAATAAAGTTTATAGTGTTTAATTATGTCGCATGCTGTAACCTCAAAATAATTCTTCCTAATTATATTTATAAAAACGACAGCGTTTATTCCAAACTTGATTTTATATATATCCGATAACTTTGTTCACGTAAAAGTAACCTATCATAGCTTGCCACCTAATAAGCAGTCAATTTCTGATTCTTGATTTCTGATTGCTCGTTATTTTTTTAGAGTAAAATATTTCAACCTCTCTCTTCTATTTTATCATAATTACGTATACTCTTTTATACTTTTAAAACATAAACTCCCTCATTTAAAAATATAAAATATTTATAATTAAATTTTATTTTTTAATAAAATAATTATCTATTTTCAGACTAACTTTATCTTTTCATATTTACTCATATTAAATAGCTTACAATAAATCTTAAGTCATTCATTAATAAAGGCATTTTTAAAAAAAAAATAATGATTACACCTCGAAAAATTAAGAATTCCTTATATTTTTTAATATCTAACTCTTTAAAAAATACTTTATATTTTTAAATGGAAGGATTATAGACATTTTTAGTATAAATAGTTAAAAAATTAATTTTAATATTAAATATGCACTATTCAAAATATATTTGGATAATAAATTATAAAAAATTACAAAAATGTTTACATTAAATTTAAATCATCTATGTTAAACTTAGATCCTTCATATTGGTGTATAATTTTTTAACAAATATTAAAAAATAAAAACATGTTAAATCTAAATCATTCTGATTAAATCTAAATAGTTTTTATCTATTATTCTTTCATTTGAAGGATTTCTTCAACAGAGAAAATCCAACTCTTAAATTTTTTCTCCTTGTATTTGAATGGAGAAATGGTGGTGAGAGACCCCCTCCCCTTATTTGGCTAGAATATAATGGAGGGGAGGGGATCCTCTCTCTACAATTTTGAGGGATTCCACCCCATAAAATGAAACATGACCAAATAATTGTTAATGAAATAAAATAGGGTAAGATAAACATAACATTTTATTGTTTTAGAGTTTTATTAAGGAAATGAATGAATTTATTTAATCATTATTTAAAAATTGTTATAAAATTAATATGCTTGTAACAATTATGTTTTTCAATTTTAGAATGAGGGAAAGTAAAAGAGTGAGAGGGGAAGACCTGGATGAAAATAATTTTATAAAAATATTATTTATATCATATCATTCTATCCTTGATTTTCAAATTAAAGATTGTGAACAATAAATTTAGGATGGTTAAAGATAATTTGAAAGGCTATCCCAAAAAATATTTTAAAAAAATTATATTTAAAAATTCTCATTGAAAAAATTATATTACCATTTAAAAAATTCTCACAATCAAATGGGTGTAGCACATATGTTAGTGGTATGGGCTCCTTAAATATCATTCTATAGTTCAATTCTTAAATGTGTATATGGAGAGCATTGCTTAGGATAAAACAACATTTTAAATGATGCTTAGATTTCTTGAGAGATCAGTTTCATGGCTGCCAGTTATGAGAATACCTGGGAAATAAAAAAAATTCTCAAACTATACTCTAAGCTAAGAAAGTTTATTTTTAATTACTCTATACTATAACTCATTATTTATGTTTTTAAAAATATTTTTTAAAATTAAATTAAAGTAATGGCACATACATACACACTCTCTTAATTTGTATTATTTTCATTTTTTGGCCAAATTGTATTATGTTTTATCTTTACTTTATTTTTAACAATATTGAATTATATGTACCCGAGTTAATAATTTTTAAAAAATAATAATAATAAAATCCATCTGAAATATATAAATAAAATTTGATCCTTCAAAATGCCATAATTTTCCTGAAATCCCTAGAGACTTTGCTATCATTAATGAGTTTGATTCCTCAAAATGTCATAAATTATTAAATTGTTCTTGTTGGAAATAAATAATTCACAAGTTTTGTTTAACTATTCATAATTTTTCCTCTTATATTCACAATAATGTAATAGCAAATCACAACTTCACATGTTAAATTTCTTATTTGCTGTTGCATTATTGTGAATATAAGAAAAAAAGTTATAAATATTTAAACAAAACTTGTAAATCATTTATTTTCAACAAAGATAATTTGGTAATTTATATAATTTCATTAATAATAGAAAATTTTTTAGGGATTTCAAGAAAATTATGGCATTTTGAAGAACCAAATTGTCATTTATATATTTCAAAGGGATTTTATTTCCATTTGTCCTTTTTATTTTTCAATTACTTTTTTAGGACACTAATAAAATAGGATACTAATAAACTATGTTATCCTGCAAGATGAACAATGTTAACACAGTTGGTTATCCAAATTTTTTTGAATAAATATAAATACTCAAAATTAATTAAGAGTTAAATGACATGTTTGCCCTCAAACTATACCTTGAAAACAACCAATGTCTTAAACTCTTATTTTAGTGCAATGAGTAACATCCCAAATTTTTATAGCTATAATTTAAGTAGTATTAAGATAAAATTTATTAAACAAATTCAGATTTAGAATAACTAAATTTATGTTGTATGAGGTATAAACACGCATAAGTTTGTGGTTTAATGAAGTAGAATGTGAAATTAGAAAAATCCTGATCAAGATAAATTGATTATAACTAGAGCATCAACTTTTGATTTTGTGAAGAGGTATAGCATTGATTGTAGTAAATGTAATGTCCACTTAGATATTATCAAAATATACAACACATAATACTTTATCATGGTAACCAAGATTAGGCTAATCTATAAATTAGGTCACCATGATAGAAAATGATAGAATTTAATTTATAAAGGAAAAAAATTCAAAGATTGGGATCCTAAAAATAAACGCTTTTTAAAAGTGTTTGAGCTCAAACAAGAGATAACATAACATACAAAATGTTATGAAAGAATGGTAATTAGGTAAACAAACAAAAGATATCACCCTAAGGTCAAAATGGGCATTTTACCTAGTCTAGCCAATCCACTACAGCGTATGTGTCATCTGTCGTGACAAATAACATAGAGGGGAGAGTCCCTTCTTTTTACCACGCACTATGGCACACTTACCATGTTCTGCAACGGATGACACTTTCATGATAGCAATTTAGAATCAATTTTCAAAGTGCATTGTTTTGCTGTCTGATGTCTGATTTAAGTGATTTAGATTTCTGCACGTAGCTAATTTAGCTAACTAACTAGCATTAGTTTCATGACAAAATAAATTCTTATTTAAAAGTTGGACATTTAGAGTATAAAAAGTCTACTTCTTTTAAAACATACCTCAAGGTGTCCAAACCCCTAACCCAAGTACCAATAGCTCAAGGAACACTCAAACCAACTCATATAGGTCAAAACTCACCTAATGTAATAGTCACAGACTCAACCAAACATGCCAATTACAAAATGGCCACTAAACCCCTCTTAGCATTAATAATGAGGTATAATAAAAAACTCCATGATATCACAATGGCCAACAAGTACACATTTAAAATATTAATCATACACTTGTACTAGTATTTTGGCCTATCCCAATGATCACATCACATATATATTATGCTTGACTGAAATACACAAAATGACATAATCAACCTCATGTAAGTGCAACAAAATGAATGCTTGTCCTAAATTGGCAATAGCGCACAAGAACACGCACACGCACACACATATGTTAAGTTACATGTTAACATAAATAGTGCATCACAACAAGTAGCTCCTTTACTCCTTGCTTGCATTACTCTTCCCTATATCCCTAAAGGAGCCTTCACCTATAAAATATTAACCATAGGGTGTAACATCCTAAGTTTTCTCATTAATAATTATCAGTGTTTTTAAGGGTAATTTGGTCAATTTAGATAAATTATTAATTTAGCAAGGGTTATAGAGACTAATATAGTTTTTGGATCATTGGACAGCCTTAGAAGAGGGCTAGATCAAGCTTCAAGTAGGCCATGGCACGAAAGGGAGTTTAAAATTTTATAGAGTTTTCTGTGCCATGTGCCGCGGTAGGTGTGTCAATGCGCCATGGTGCGCGGGCATAATCAACACTTATCAGATCACAGAAACAGATCGAAAATAGAAGAGAGAAGAAGGAAAAAATGAGAGTGATGGAGGAGAGCTTTTAGTCTACTAAGGCACGATCCCTAGGCTACTTTGAGGGCATTTGGAGCTTGATTATCATTGGGTAAGTTGTGCATTCCCTCTTCTCTCTCTTTTATGCAAAAATCTGAACATTTGGGGTAATGGAGGCTTTGATTTCGGTTCCCTTGGGTTTAAACCGAACCCATTAGTTTTTTTAAGATTTTGGAGAGTTAAATCAAGCTTCTAACCCTAAGTCTATGAATTTTGTGATGATTGAGAATTTTTGATAAGGGTTTGGATGAACCCTAAGTATAATTAAGGATTTTGAGACAATGTGAGACATTAATTAGCGAATTTGGTATGTTGGAATATTTAATAGGATGGTTAGAGTGTGTGGGAATGGTTGGTATTGTTAGAAAAGGAATTTGAGTATTTTAAGTACTTAGAACCTAGAGAATTTAGAGTTATCCAGAGTAATAATTGACGATTGTCACTTATTGGTATAGATTGAGCGTTACTCGAGCCTTATCATGCACATAGAACATGTAGAGCTAACATTGAGTCACGGTAACCCTTTTTGTGTGACAAAGGGGTTAAGGTAACCATATAGTTTATTGTGTTTATTAACTATTTTAACTGTGTAGAAGTAATTTTAAATGATAAAGTTGTGGTTTTGAAGAGCTTTATACATAATGTGACATTGTAAATGATTTTAGCATGAAAAATTAATTTGTAAAAGGTTATCAATTTTAGTTGATATATATATATATACACTATGTATATAAGATTGTGATGTGGGAATGTGACAAAAAGTGATGAAATTTGTGAAAGAGCATAATCATAGGGGTGGGAGTTCACTTAAGATATGTGGGAATATGCGTGTGTGGAGATATGTGAGTGAAAAATTCATATGGTTAGGCTGACATCAGGAGACATCCGGTGCAGC